CCCTATACAGGGTCGCTATAGGTCAGAATCTACTTGATGGCACTCAACAACACAACAATAACCTTATTAGTATTGTTGTTCCCCCTATATAACTATCGACTGCTTGGCTGAAAGTTGGGCCATGAGGGTGAGTTCCTTCCCAGGCCTTAAGGATGGTCTAGGGTGATAGTCTCAGGTTCCTACAATCTATTTCTGACCAGTAAGCCCAGTTGTTTGTTGTTGTTGTTGTTCCTTTTAATTTTTTGAGTTTTGTTCCACATATTCTGTCACTCTAACCAAGACTTTCTAATGTGATCCCATTCAGAGCAGTTTGCAGTGGCAGCAGGGCACCATCTAGCTCTTCTGGTCACAGGACTGTGGAGACTGAAGCTCACAAATTCCATTAGTCCCCTGGACTAATTGATTCCAAGCATCTTCACTTCTCAACACTCTTCTTTCTTCTTCACTTGGAAAGACCAATAGCTGCATCTTACACGGCCGCTCATGAGCTTTTACCCAGTCATATTTTGAGTGTCTTCCAAACTAAGGGACTCATTTTCTGGCACTATATCTGACAACATTCTGGTGCTATTCATCATGTTTCAATATTCAATATTCTGGTGCTATCTGGCAGTGTTTCAATGCTATTTGTAAATCTTATCATTGCCTAAAAGGTCCTACATGATCTGGCCCAAATCTAACTCTCTAGTTTTGACTAGGAGTCCTGGTGTAGCACTGTAGGATAAGCACTGGATGAGAGCCACAAGGTCGAAAGTTCAAACCCATTGGCTGTTACTTAGAAACCTTATACAGGGAAGCTATGAGTTGGAATCAACACCATGACACTTAAAAATAACAACAAGCAATAGTTTTGACTAGGAGTCTTGATGTGGCATTGTAGGATAAGCACTGTACTGCTAACCCAAGGTCAGCGGTTCAAACCCACCAGCTGCTTTTTGAGACCCCTACACAGGATGCCATTCTAAGTTGTCTATGAATCAGCACTTAACAACAACATGTGGCCTTCACAACAACACAAAGTCAGCAGTTTGAATCCACCAGCTGCTCCTTGGGAGAAAAAGGACGCTTTCGCCTCACATAAAGGTGTACAGTCTCGGAAACCCGAAACCCTACCATTTTAAACTGTGAGATGATCAAATTCTGTTTGTTAAAGCCACCCACTTGGGGTACTTCTGTTACAGCAGCAACTCTGTATAGGGCTTCCTAAAGCAGCTAGCAGGTTTGAACTGCTAACTTTGCAGTTTGCAGTCTAGTATTTAGGAAGTCTGAGAGGTCAGCATGGGACACATTGTACAGGGCCTCCTTGGCTGCATGGAGACTTTGACTTTTAACCTGGATGTGATGGTGCTGGAATCCTGGTTGCACAGAATACATTGCTAACCACAAGCTTGGTGGTTGCCCACCACACTACTTTTCTTTCTATTTTTCTAATTCCTGAAAAAAGTTTATAATTCTGTTTAGAAAGATCTTCTCTACTATTCTCAATCTAACTTCTTTAGAATACCTCAAAGGGGTTCTACAACTTGCCCAGTGAAATAGGCCTCATGCAAAGCCTTTACAGAGTATAGGATCGTAGGTGGAATCCTGAGTCCCATCCACAACCTTGTGAGGTGAGACATTCCCAATAGAAAGGACAAGCAGACTGGAAGAGCCACAGTGACAGAAGATACATCTTCATTATGAACCTGACCTATACTCAGAGTGGTAGTTACTCTAAATACCAAGAGAGAGGGAAAGAGTCTTCAAATCAATCTAATTTCTACTTAGATATACTGAGAAGAACTCAAAGAGTTCTTCCTACCTTTCAATCTAATTAGATTTCCTTGTTATACTCTCATGACATCCTGTACTTTCCCACAAATATAGCTAAGTGGTTACTTGTTTTAATATTTGACACTTCCACTAGACTGTAAGCTTCATGAGAATAAGAACAATCTCTATCTGGCTCTTCACTTTACCTATGGCCTGTGGTAGTGGAGGTGGTTATGTGCCGTGGAGAGGGTTCCAATTCATAGCGACCATATTAAGCATCTAATAAGCAATTTTTGGGAATGCGTAGGAACTGAAGTAAACCTGTGGTATAAACAGAATCAAAGCAATGTAGTATCTTCTCTTAGACATTCATCAAGGAAGAGCATATGTCTTCCATCTGTCTCCATTTGTTATTCTCTAATAGTTAAAGATCTGAATGAATATAGGAAGCCAAGTGATTGACTAAGACATGTATAGTCTGGGAAGACCCAGTGAAAGGGTCTTCCTTTTATGAAAGACGAACTTTGCATATAGAGAACACAAAAGTATTTTCAGTTAGAAAGGATACCAAAATACCAAACCTGAATGAACGCTGGGCCCACTTCTCCTGATCCACACGGGGAGCCAGTCCAGACTTTCCAGCCCATAGGACATTGTCACAGGCGAAGTACAAGGCTCTATTGAGGTGACTAACAGTGATGCAGAATCTCAGGACAACATCTGAGAGGTGCACTGCTCTTTTGGCTGATTCAAGGGCATCTGCTGAGTTACCGAGGCGTAGAACTTGTGAGGATTAGCAAGGAAAAGCAAGGATTTGGAAGTATAGACAAACAGCAAGACAAGGAAAAAGAGAGAAAGCAAGAGTAAAAGTAGAACAAATGACAGACACAAAAACAAACAAGAAAAGCAAAACAGTTCATTATTTTTTACTTCATATTTTAATTGATCTATTCTTTACTTCAAATTTTAATGAATTTTTGTCCCTGTTTAGTTTTCTCAGATTTACTCCCATTCCATCCAGTCCTCCATTACTCTCTCACCCTGTCTTATCTTGATTGGGAGGCAGGCAGAGGACAAGTGTAGAGCCAAATGAGGGAGAAAAACTGGCATAAATGGTAAAAAAAAAAAATAGGAACGAGGGACTAAGGAAAAATAGCTGGGGACGGAGGAAGTGTTAAGGTGATTCAAAGAAAGGCACAGTTACTTACGCTTTCTTCCAAGACTCAAATGACTCTCCAGTTGTCTAATCTGTTTCTGTAACTCAGGACTGGCCCCATGTCTCTGCAGTGCATGGCCAAGAAGACAGCAAGCATACTGAGCAGCCCTGGAAGAGAGGACAGGCAAGAGAAGCTGGAAACTTCCCTAATACCCTCTTCAAAAAATGTTCTCCAACAGCAGATACTGACTTCCCCTCATCCCAATTTAAGATCCTTCCCCTTTCTCCTCTTCATGCCCATATCTCACCCTTGCTCCTGTGGGCCTGGGAAGGGAGATATAAGGATTAAAAGGAGCCTAAAGGAGTCCTGGTGTGGTGCTGTAGGGTAAATGTTGTTGTTGTTAAGTGCCATCAAGTTGGTTCCAACCAATAGCGACCCTGTATGGGGTTTCCGAGTAGCAACTGGTGAGTTTGAACCGCCGACCTTCTGGTTCAAACAAATCTTGCAGTCCAGCGGATTAGCCCACAGTACCACACCAGGAGAGCTATCACACAGTCCGTGGTTCAAACCCACTAGCTTCTCAAAAACCCTATACAGGGTCACTATGAGTCAAAACTGACAGCACTTAATAACAGGAACAACAAAGGACACAGCTTTGAAGACCCTAGGGCTCTACTCTGTACAGATAGGTCTGCCAGGAGTTGGAATCCTCTCCGCCTAAGCTAACAAAACAACAACAAAGGGGGTGGGGAGCACTGTTTATAGTTGAGAAAAGAAGAAATTGAACAATGATAAGGCCAGAAAAGGAAGCAAGAGGCCCATTATAGGTACATCACTATTGAGTCCATAAGTGATTGTTGGGTTGGGGAAGGAACTGTAACTGCAGGGCAGTTTATTCCTAATAGATGAGCTAAGAGATTTCAAGACCCTCGAGTGCAATGGACACCAAAAACCAGAGCGAAGGCAGAGGAGTTCCAGGGTGGTAGCAGGGAAGGGGACTGAGGAACTGGGAACCTCCTCAGTTCTGGGGGCAGAGTCCGGGTTACTATCCACGGTAGGGCAAATGCCCCTCATTCCACCACCCAGTGAAGAAACTGTTGGTCCTGTGCAGACAAGGTAACCCGCAGCGGTCTCCCCGCTGGCCCACTCATGCCTCAGTTTCCCCATCTTTCTCAAGAGCAGAAACGAATTATGTCACGGCCAGCTCAAATCTGAACCTCGAGATCCCTCTGGGCCCCCGTAGTCGGAGTTGACCCCTAGCTGACCCCCGCAGTCTGACCTGACCTAGCCTCGTGAGGGTCTTCCTTTGCCTGCCCTCCCCCCATTCCTATTCGGGTCGCACCTACACAGCCGCTCCCGGGCCTGGCTCTGAGCACTGAAGCGGACCCAAGCGTCCATGACAGCGGCAACCCCAGCCTCCTCCGCCCCGCTCCCGCCCCACTTCCCGCCCCTAGTCACGCCTCCTGGACGCCCCAGACGGTGCCTCGTGAGGGACAAACAGTGTCAGAAAAGAAAGCTTAGTGGAAACGGTCCCTAAAGTGGAAATTGAGGGCGAGAATCTCTTGTCTCTAGGCCTATACCAGTGTGTTTTTACCCTTGTGTCTCCATCACAGCGTCCCTAAATCAAAGAGTATCTTTCCATAGCATACCTCAGGCGGAGCATTCATCTTTAAATTAGGAACAAAGGGCGGGGCTTGTAACGATGGGGGCGGAGAGATTAAACACAGCAGATCGCTCCCCGGAGTCGCTTAGCCGACTGCCCCGAGCATAGATACAAACGCGTGCGAATCAGGACTCTCGGGACTAAGGTTATGGCTGTAGAAGAAGCTGGGAGTCCATTGAGGAACATGTTTAGCACCGGATCTCGGTTCCCTGCAGGACCCTGACGATTGGACAGTGACCTCCACCAACCAGGACACAAACGGAGCATCTTCAGACGCTAAGGCTTTAGTGGGCTAGATCCGCTATAACCAGCTTTGTATCTTGCAAAGAAGAGCAGAGAATCAGTGGTGGAAGTTACTACTTCACACCCACACTTTAGCCCCCCCACCCCCACCCCCTCCACACACACACGTTCTCTTCCAGGCTACCATGTCTGGGAGGAACGGCACCCCTTGGGGCTCAGCAGCAGGGGAAGAGGTCTGGGCGGGATCCGGAGTGGAGGTGGAGGAATCAGAGCTGCCCACCTTCTCAGCTGCAGCCAAGATTCGCGTGGGAGTGACCATTGTGCTGTTTGTTTCTTCAGCCGGAGGGAACCTAGCAGTGCTGTGGTCAGTGACAAGGCCGCAACCCAGCCAGGTCCGCCCCTCTCCGGTCCGACGACTCTTCACCCATTTAGCAGCTGCAGACTTACTGGTCACTTTTGTGGTTATGCCCTTAGATGCTACCTGGAATATCACTGTTCAGTGGCTGGCCGGGGACATCGCATGTCGGATACTTATGTTCCTGAAACTAATGGCCATGTATGCCGCAGCTTTCCTGCCTGTAGTCATTGGGCTTGATCGCCAGGCAGCAGTACTCCACCCGTTTGGACCCCGCTCAGGTGGAAGGAAACTTCTGGGGGCAGCTTGGGGACTTAGTTTCCTGCTTGCCTTGCCCCAGGTGAGTGAGTTGTTGGGACTCAGGGCTGGGTTGGATAGGAATTTGAGTGCACAGCATGAGCCTTGGAAGTTCAGGGGTGTACCTGGCCCGCTTTAGACATAATCCTCAGACTTGGTCCAAAGGGGGAGCCTTTGCTATCATTTTTGCAAGATCATTTGCATCTCTTTTTAGAGCCTACCTTTTAAAAGTAGTACCCTAGATCTGTGTCTCTGCCTTCGGCTACATTTGGCTTCTACCTTTCATTCTTTCAGGTCTATCCCCTTCAGGTGATGGAGTGAAGAAAAACTATGCTAGGGAGGAAACATACATGGGGGTTTAATAAAGAGAATGAAGTAGAAGATTTTGAGTAAAAGTTTGTGGTACATTCATTGATCAATTTAAAAAATACTTCATCTCTGGGTACACCAAGGTGCTAATGAGAGAGCATGAGAAAGTTGAATTTTATTCAAACTCTTAGTTAAATAAATCCCTTACTCTTCTGTGTGTTACTGGAAACTGACCAACTCTGTTTAAATTATTTCCGAATAGGAGTTTCCCTTATCTCCTCACTGTTCCTTTTACCCACATCCTAATTTTCATTTCCCACCTTTGTCTCCCAGGATCCACCTGGTCTTAACAAAACAAAACATTATAAACAAAATGGCCCTAATCCCAAATAGCCCAAATCATTCACCCATTCCAGTGGTCATCCCCACTTTCTTTTTTTAAAAACTCTCAGTTCTTTGTCTCCATAGAGTTGGAGCTCAGACTGGTGTCTCATTCTCCCCACTGTAGTCTTCCCCATTATAGTATTCCTGTCCCTCTTGTAAATCCTCATCCCTCCCTTAAAATAATTGTTTTGAATAAAAATCATCCTTGCTTGCTTTCACATTCCCAGTGAAATTTTTACTTTGCCAAGCAACCAAGTCCTGCCTTCAAGGAATATAAAAACTAGTGCAGGAGGCAAACTGGTAAGCAATTACAATGCAGAATGCAGTTGAAAGTGTAGCATAAAGAGCTAAAGAAAAATGAAGACGCTCAAGAACACTGTCGGACAGTCCCAAAGATGTTAAAATTTGCTTCTTGAAAGATGGATGGGGGGAAACCAAGTTAAAGCAGGAGGAATGCAAAGAGAGGTGGGGGGATAGAGTATTTCAAAGTGGTTGCTGCTGAGTTGGGGAGTTCTGGGTATATATGTGTTTAAAATGATGACTAATAAGCCAGAGGGGAAGGACTAGCTCACATATATTCACTTTGTATTTAAGCTATTAAAAGATAAAGAGTGATATAATCAGATATGTACTTTACCACTGTGGCTTTACTATGGAATGTCAAGACTGGAAGTAGAAGGAGCTCCTCAACTTGAGCACCAGTTTCAAAAAGAACCTTTTACCACAGTGAATAGAATTATACAGTTGGGACTTATTTATATGAAGCAAATTTTCAATAGGGATTGGAAATTAGAACTGTTTTGTTGCATTGCTTGTTTTTACTTTTCCTTTTGTGTTTTTTTCTGAGTTTAGGCCCTACCACTAACTAGCTGTCACTTGAAATCCGTGGGTTACAAGATGATGACATAGGAGTTGAATTTTATTATTATTACAGTCTGATAAACCCTACAATAATTACAATGTCCATTTGCTTCATTGGCAAACTGGTAGAGACAAATATGAAACGTGTGTAAAGATGATATTTTTGGTTTCACATTAGTGTCCCTTTGGATAAATTCTGCTTTGTCCATATGTTGTAACTGGTTCTAAAATATGAGTCTAAATAAAATTGTGTTTTAAGATTTAAAAAAATTTTTTAAAGTGATGATGTTTTGGTGAGACAGTATTATGGATAGTTAGAAATTACTTATTTTTGTAGGCTGAAATTCCTAAGTACCAAAAGTGTTTGAAATGAAGCTTTATACCTGAGTAGCGCAGTTCAAATAAAAGAGGGAAAAGGAAAAGAGACGTATTATGGACCAAACTGAAGACCAGAAACCTTCACTACTTTTGTATCTCTTTTCATAATGTCCATACTTTTGGAGCATGGTGACTTTGTAGGATATGCTTTTAGACATAGCACACACCAAAAAAAAAAATCCAGAATATATGGTCTCATGGTAGGGAAAAAGGAAAGGCCTTTATTAGAGACCATTACCCAGTTCACCCAGGGTCCTGATGTGACGCTGTAGGTTAACGCACTGGACTGCAAGGTTGGTTTGAACTGCAAAGTTGGTTTAAGAAGCAAGGTCAGTGGTTCAAGTTCACCAGCCACTCCTTAGAAGCCCTTATACAGGGTAGCTATGAGTCAGAACCGACTCGACAGTACTTAACAACAATCCAGCAAACCCAGAGTAGACTGATAATGACTCCGAGTAGTTCATAAAGCTTGTATGTCTGTGTGTGGCTAGTCATCTTTCCTAAAAGTTTCTCATGTCTGCTGAAATCGCTTCCCCAAATGCCTTTGACCTAGGAACCTAATACCTATTGAATTTACCTTGTATCAAGGGAATAGTGACTCAGTTTACATGATCAGAACCAGTGTACTAACCCTGAAGTTTAAAAACTCAAAAATACTCTTTACTGTCTCACACAAACAAACAAAATACAATGTTTTTCCAAAAAGGAGGTGGGGCAGCCAACAGGATTTGAAAGATGCTAAGTTGTATTATTTAACCTTATGGTCACTGTTAAACAGTTATTGTGCATAATATTATTACTAAAAGCACTTCACAAAGTAGTTGCAAAATGGCCTGAAATTCTATCAGCACTCATTTTATACAAAATTTCTTTTTTCTACAGAATTCATCACAGACATACCAGAAAAATAATTTTAGGTAAAAAAGGTGGTGAAGTGGTATATATACATGTTCTTGTTGTTGTTTAATGCCACTGAGTTGGTTCTGACTCATAGCAAACTCTGTATGGGGTTTCTGAGGATCAGCTGGTGGGTTTGAACTGCTGACCTTGTGATTCACAGTTCAGTGCTTATCCCACAACGCTACACTACAACTATATACATAGTGGTAGTTGTGTGCCACTGAGTCAGTTCCAACTCATAGTGACCCTGTATAGGATTTCTGAGGCTGTAAACCTTTATTATGAGAGCAGAAATTTTTCACAGGAGCAGAAAGGCTCATCTTTCTCCCACAGAGCAGCTGGTAGACTTGAACTGCGGACCTTGTAGTTAGCTGCCCAGCTCATAATCCACTGTGCTATTAGGGTTACAGTACAATGTTAGAATAGTACTGACGTTGGGAGGAGATACTATGACATAAGAGGACAGGTGGAGCAGGACCATTTCTAATAGCCCTCAACTCCACTCCAGCTGTTCCTGTTCCATACTGTCCGCCGAGCTGGCCCAGTCCCTTTCACACAGTGTGTCACCAAAGGCAGTTTCAAGGCTCAATGGCAAGAGACCACCTATAACCTCTTCACCTTCTGCTGCCTCTTTCTGCTGCCACTGACTGCCATGGTCATCTGCTATAGCCGCATTGTCCTCAGTGTGTCCAGTCCCCGGACAAGAAAAGGGAACCATGGTGAGATTCTAATCCCAGGTCCTAATCCTCACCGCCTAGCCTATTTACCTAGCTCTCTACCTGACAGCTGTCTAGCAGTCACTAATCCAAAGTAAGATCCTCACCGTATATCCAGCACCTGATGCAGATCATTTTACAGAATGCATTTGATTCTAACCAGTCTCTAGTCCTCTGAAGTCAGATTAGCTGGGCAAAGATTAGTGGGAAAGGTGATCTTTGTATTTTCCTTGACTCGATGACACTGTCAAGTCTGGAGGTAGACGGGGACTTCACATAAGAGGGTGAGTCAAAAATTATCCGCACTCTGGCTGTAGAATTTATTTTAATCAACTTTTAGAGAAGACAAATACATCATTTTTAACATCATCTCCATGCTTTTCAATACACTTTGTTCATCTGTCACCAAGCTTTTGTATTCCCTTAATGAAAAAAATGTCTTAGACTGAGCTATAAGCCATAAATGCACTGCTGACTTCACTTCTTCATTAGAAGTGAATCGTCGTCCTCAAAGGACTGCTTTTAGGGGACCAAACAGGTGAAAGTCCTATGAAGCAAGATCAGGACTATAGGAGGTTGCTTTAATACCTCAAAACGAAGTTTTTGCAAAATGTCAACAGTGTGGGCAGAGGTATGTGGACATACATTGTCTTGCAAGACCACAATGCACTTGGCTAGCAGTCCTCTGCATTTAATCTTGAAATATAGGCTTCAGCTCTTCAGTGAGCATCTCACTGTAATAAGCACTGTTGATTGTTGAACTTTTTTCCTGATAGTGTTCCAATACTGGCCCTTGAGAATCCCAGAAAACTGTAAGTATCAATTTTCCAGTTGATGGTTGACTTTTGAACATTTTCTGGATTGGTGATTGAGGATGCTTCCATTTTACACTCTGCCATTTACAGGCTTGTAGTGATAAATCTATGTCCCATCACCAGTAATGAATTTTTTAAAGAAACTTTTCCCTTCGAGTATTGGTCCAAATTTTGTTTGCAGATGTCCAATAGCTTCTGTTTATGCTCTTGTGTCAGTTGTTTTGGTACCCATTTCCCACAAACTTTTCGAAACCCACGTCTGTCTTGGATTATTTCATAGGCAGAGCCAAGGCTGATTTGCAAATGATTTGTCACATAATTTACTGTCATTCGTCTATTTGACAGAATCATTTCATGCTGCATGATCAATGTGGTCATCAACAGTAGATGAGGACAGGTGTTTTAATATAACCGAAGTGCGGATAATTTTTAACACCTTCATATAGCACAGCACCTTGTTCAAAAGCCTTTCCCTAGCATGTTGGTCACAATTCTGGAGGGGGAAGGGGAAATCCTTGGAGTCCCAACCATGGAGTCCAAGTTGGGTAGGGGAAGGGGAAGGGGGTTTGCGGCATTTACATATTTATCCCATATTTCCAATGGTGGGGGGAGAGCTCCATCTCATTATTTCTGCCCCTCCATCAATACATCCTGTACTCTGTTCAGAAGCTCAGTGGCTCTGAATGAGTCTATTTTCTACGTTCCCAGCCCCTGCTGATGGATTTGCACTCCGCCGCTCCTTAGACAATCGCCCTCGTGTTCGCCTGCGGGCCCTGCGACTGGCCCTCCTTGTCTTGGTGACCTTCGTCCTCTGCTGGACACCTTATTATCTGCTGGGCCTGTGGTACTGGTTCTCCCCTACCATGCTGACTGAAGTCCCCCCCAGCCTCAGTCATATCCTTTTCCTCTTTGGCCTCCTTAATGCTCCTCTGGATCCCCTACTCTATGGGGCCTTCACCCTTGGCTGCCGAAGAGGACACCAAGAACTGGGTACAGACTCCTCCAGAGAAGGAGGGTCTGGCAGAATGCCCCTGAGACAGCTGGAAGCACACACAAATGTGGCATCAAGTAGGGCAGGAGAAACTAAAGAGACATTCTTATAATGTCCATTTGCTCAGGTCAGAATACATAGGAACAAAGGAATTATTCTCTAATACCATAAGCACATCTCACTGCTACTCTTCATATTTTAGCTGCAAAAACTACTGAGCATGTCTATGCTCTGACTCCAACTGGTATTGGAGACAATGTCTAATGTAGAAACTCACATGGACTTCAGTCCCCAGGAGAAGTATCTTCACAGTGACCCATACTGCCTTAATGTAAATAGTACTAAAGAATTTTCAACTCTAGTTAGAGTAGAAAGCAACTTTAAATGCAGAAAACAAAAATGGGACATTTATTCACAACTCAAACACATGGAAGGTAATATGAGAGACTGAACATAACTATAGTAAGCTCTAACGCAGCCCAGTTTCTCCAAGGCAGCACAGTCAAATGGAATCTCTACAGAAAACACACAGACAGAGCAGGACCTGTCTGTGTCGCCTCCAATATGGACTCATGCTGCATCTTTGGCCATCTCTAAGGAAAAGAAGGGGGGAACCATCAGAGTGACACTACACAAAGCCTGTGTTCTGTTCCCCTCACATTCCTTTCATCAAGAGAGCCACTATCCCCTCCATCTTACCTCCTCTTACTCTTGAGTGGACCCCGAACAAAACACCAGTCAACACTGATGGGCTGTCCCATCAAATCCTGGCCATTTAGGCCTTCCAAGGCAGCCTGGGCCTCCTTGTATGTTTCATACTCAACTAGAGTATACTCCTGGTGGTGGTGGTTATGTACCGTGGGGTCAGTCCTGACTCATGGCAAGCCTGAATAAGGTTTCTGAGGCTGTAACTCTTTACAGGAGCAGAAAGCCTCATCTTTCCTCCACGGAACACCTGCTAGTTCTAAACTGCTGATCTTGAGGTTAGCAGCCTGACTTGTAACTACTACGCCACCAAAGCTCCTGTATACTCCTGGGTGGTATGAAAAACACATATAAAAAATCTTCTATTTTACCAAGTGTCATTGGGTATCCTCTTCTTCATATCTAAAATCATATTTAAATAGAGAAACATAATTTTTTTCAAAATTAACTGTATGTACATCATTTATCCTTGTTGTCTTTACAATATATCTGTTTCTGTCTGTCTGTCTCTTTACTATGTCTAACAAAATCAATTTACAATGTGATTTCATTTCTGCTTTGCTCTTGGCCAAGCACAGAAAACATGCAAACAGAATTGTTGTTGTTCTTGTTGTTATGTGCCATGGAGTCGGTTCCAACTCATAGTGACCCTATACATGGTTTCTGAGGCTATAAATCTTCACGGGAGCAGAAAGCCTCATATTTCTCCCACGAAGCAGCTGGTAGGTTCGAACTGCTGACCCTGTGGTTCGCAGTCTGATTCGTAATCACTACGCTCCCAGAGCTCCTTCTGTCTAAGGGTTGTGGGGAAGGGAGATAATGAAATGTCCCTTATGTTACCTTCAAGTACCCTGTATGCCCATCCATGACAAGACAGTCCTTGCTTCTTCCAACTTACATCCTCTTGCTGTTGGACACAGATCCCAAAAAGTAGATCAGCTGTCTAAGTTACTCTGAGATGTCTCCTTTTTTCTTTGATCAGGTGGATACCTTTGAAGTGGCAAGGGAGAAGAGAGAGAGGACAACATACCAGTTTTAAACAAAAGCAGTTGCTGTTAAGTCATTTCTGATTCATGATGACCCCTTGTGTTTCACGGTAGAACTGTGTGCTACAGGGTTTTCAAAGGTTGTGATCTTTTGGAAATAGATTGCCAGGTCTCCCTTTCAAGGAGTTTCTAAACTGCCAACTTCTCAGTCAGTAGACAAGCGCTTAACTGTTTGCACCACCCAAGGACTCTACATACAAGGTACCATTTATTTGTTCCCTTTTCTGCCACTGTTTCATTTCCTAGTGAGCACATGCCAATGCTGTTTCCTTTAAAAGTAAAGGCCATGCTGCCATCTGGGCTGTTGAGAAGCCTCTAGAAGCTGACTTCTTGTTTCTACTTAGGTCAGAGTGTTTTACTGTCCTCTTTGTAGCAGATTTGTAATCAGATGGAAATTAGGGGAGCTGGGAGAGGTGAGGAAATGGCATGGACTTGCTTTCTTTCCCATTCTTTCTGCAAGAATTTTCCTTCTTTGTAATAATTCAAAGACTTAGGAGGCTGTTTCATTAACTTCTCCTTTCACTTTGGTTTCTTTCACAAAGAATTGTGTTTCCTCAAGACAGTCGCTCTTGTCCTCCTCATCCATCGACCATAATGTCTAACAAGACAATTTCTAAAATGTTGGAAGACTGCACAATCCTGCAATGTTTTTAAAAACAAAAGCAGAGTTTCTGTAAAGAATTTTATTCAAATTCAAAAATTTACAAATTAGGAAGCGCCAAAATCAAAGTTCAAAATGGCATTCTGGAGAGGGAGCTAATAAGGTTATGTCTTTTGTAGTCAATTTTACAGAACTTTTTACAGAGCTGGGAAGAGTAGGATGGTAAATTTGATTGGTTGACATTCAGCATGCTCTTGTAAGACTCATTTATAAAGAATTTCTAATGGCTGGAGTACTCATCCTTAGCCATAATTTCCTGCATTCTGGACCTGCTTCCATCTGTTTCCTGCAATGTTCTGGGTGGGCTACCTTAGAATGTTACATGACAAGTTGTCTTGGTCAAGAGTGTGGTCATGGGCAATGTACTCTGAAAAGCAAAAGCAGGGTCCTAGGAATAAAATGGAGTCTGATTCAGACCTGTGTCCGCCATTTTAGTTATGCCAAGTGCCTCAGTTTTAGAGCACTCCTTCATAAATGATTCCTTCCTCATTTCCATTCAAATTTATCTGTTTGAAGCAGGTAAGGTATAAGCTCCCTGAAGAAGTTCCTTATTCCCTGATTAAGGGTCCATTGCTGATGAGGGTTTACCATATACTTTAGCAGCACTTGTGTTCTGTAAGAAGATGCCTCTTCAATGAACTATTGTGACAAGTACTGACACCCCCAACAGTGGCAGGGAAGGTCAGTTTCCCACTTTTTAAAAAAAAACAGATACAGAAACTTAGATTGAATGTGCCTGCCCCAGCTTAGGGGGACTTTGGTAGGCCTGGGCTGTTCATATAAGAAGAGTCTTTCTAACCATATGGATGATCTGCATAATACAGCTCTGCTCTCCTACACCAAGTTTTGTGGGAGCATACTCAAGACAAAGGATTAGGCAGGGTGTCATGCACTTCTCTTTGGAGCATTCCATTCCTCCGGATTAGGGTTTTCCATAAATGGAGCAGGCAAGATCTCACGTTGGACTGTGACTAACCATACTGTTTTGGAAGCTCTATTGTTTAAATATGCTGAATTTTTGACCAGATAAAACCCCAAGCTATGCTAACAACTAAGCATCACTTGTACATAATAGTTATCTGTCAAGTATCAGCTGAGTGGAGCAAAACAGGATAAACCACACTTGGCTGTTTTAGAGAGAGGGATGAGACAGCACTGGGCAACTCTGTGATAAGTAACAGGTTGTTCATCACTGAATTTTGCTAGATTTTACAAATGAAAAAGAGTGTTAAAATAGCCCCATACAGATATCATGTCTTCCTGTTGTTGCTGGACACCCTGCTAACTCATTGTTGTTGTGAAGTGCTGCCAAGTCGGTTCCAACTCATAGTGACCCTGTATAGGGTTTCTGAGGAGTGGCTGGTGGGTTTGAACCACCAACCTTGTAGTTACCAGTCCAGCACTTATCCTACAGTTCCATACCAGGAATCCTGTCTTCCTTGTAGGCTTATGGATAAGGAAGACCAGTTAATACCATTATTATTCAAATTTGCACTCCAAAGAGTATTTGTACATGTAAAAATTATGCTACCACTGAATTGTACACATAAAAAATGTTGGATTGACAAATGTTTTGTATATTTTTTACAACAATTAAAAATACATTTTAAAGTTAGTAAAACAAAATCATGAATACTTAAATATTTGAAGTTGAGAGATTTCTTGCCTACAGCATAAGTTCTAAAATCCTTAGCATGACATACATTTTCACCCTAAATTGTATTTCCAGCTTTATTTCCCAGTCTCACATCAGGCATACAGAATTTTTTGCCATTCTGATTTTCATCCATTCAACAAATATTGGCCAAATGTCTACTATGAGCCAGGCACTTCTTCATTTGGGGTTATAGTTATAAAATGAGTCTCTATTATGAAACTTGCATTTTAAAGGGAAAAACAGACATTAAACAAATCTAAAAGTAAAAAGAAGTCCGGGTATGGTACTGTAGGATAATCACTGGACTGTAAGGTTAGTTTGAACTGCAAAGTCAGTGGTTCAAATTCACCAGGCACTCCTTGGAAACCCTATACAAGCTTGCTATGAGTCAGAACCAACTCAACAGCACTTTAACAACAACAAAAAGATATAAAGATAATTAAAATTCTGATTTAAGTTCTGTGAAGGATATAAACAAGCTGAAGTCTAGGAAGGTAGAGAAGACACTGAGATGAGAAAAAGCTTGCAAGATGTTGAGGGAACATCTAGCAAGCACTTATCAGGTGAGGGAAAGAATGGTGGTGGAACAAAAGGTTGATGACATAGGTAAACAAGGCTGTGTGACTTGGAAATTTATTCTAAGTACAACAAAAAAGTTAAAGGTTTAGTACCTTCATCAAAGGAGCCCAGGTAGCATGTTGTTGTTGTTAAGTGCTGTTGAGTCAATTCTGACCCATAGCGACCCTGTATAGGGTTTCCAAGGAGCGGCTGGTGAGCTTGAACCGCCAACCTTGCAGTTCAAACGGCTTTGCAGTCTGGTGCATTAACCCACAGCGCCACACCAGGTAGTATAGTAGGTTACAAATCAGGTTGCTAACTGCAAGGTCAGCAGTTCAAGTCCACCAGGAGCTCCATGGGAGAAAGATGAGGCTTTCTGCTCCTATAAAGATTTATAGCCTTGGAAACCCTACCTAGGATCACTGAGTCAGAATCGACTCCATGACACATAACCACCACCACCTTCAATGAGTAGTCCTAGCAAA